GAGGAGGAAGAGGGGGAGGGGGGGGGAGGACGAGGAGGAGGAGGGGGGGAGGAGCGAGCGAGCGAGCGAACCTCGAGGAATACACCACTGTCCTGCCTTGACTGGACAACTACGCAATCGCCTCGTGCCATCATCGCGCGCAGCTGGATTCTGAGACGGGGTAGTCCAACCCCAACGCGGAGGAAACATTAGCTCTGTGGGCCTTGCCTGCGCTCCCCTTTGGGGAACAGGCCCGCGGGCACCCCCCCCTAAGGCACGCAACCCTGCGGGAGGCGCCCACTCAAGCACGAGAGCCTCGCCCACCACCACGACGTCCGCGCCCGCCACGTCTGCCTGGCGCGCCGCGGCCGTAGCCTGGTGGAAACACCAGCGGGTGTGCAGGAAGGGCATCGTCAACATAGCTGCCCACTAGCACGGCTCCCGTGCGAGCCCTTGCCGCGGTCTCTGCACTGATGCCCCCTCTAGCCTCCAGCTACGCTAGTCTTTGAGAGGTGCTAAAAAATTGCCCCCGTCTCCTATCCGCGCCACCCACTCAAGGCGCTAGGGCGGGACGATCTACTTCGCATTGCCCACCATCTTCGCAACCTCGCGCTCGAGCGGGCCCCTGGGAGCCGATCCACGCACTGTCGTCGCGCCCTCGCACTGGAGCACATTCATGATGCATGGACGGCACGCCAATGCCAGCTTCGTGTCTTTTGTTGAAATCCGTGGTGACTGGGCACTGCTGCTCCACGCCATCCTCCCTGCGTAACGGCTTCAGTCTGAAGTAGAGCACCGCTTCCGCGATGGTCACCATCTCGCTCGAGACGATCACATTATCCCAAATCTGCTTGGCCTCGAGCGCGTTGGCCACCTCTCTGTCTTCGCCCTCTGCCGCCGCGCGCCCCGCCGCGCACTGGAAGGCCGCCAAGAACACGTGAATGCGCTGAGGGCCTCGCTTCTTGAACTGCTCCTGCGAGGCGCCTGGTTTCTTCATGACCTTGCTGCCCCCCTCGTCCTTCTTGCCCGCCGCCTGCATGGCCGCGGGGAGCCCCCGCAAGAGGGGCATCATGAAGGCCGCGTAGACCACCGCCCCGAAGTCGGCCACCGCGCGAGCCTGTGCCAACACCAAGCGCCAAATGGCCGTCACCAGCTTCATCAGGCCGTCCTTCTCGCTCTTCTTGCCCCGCTTGGCGGCGGCGCCCCCGCCCGCGCCCGCCGCCGCGTCGCCGCCTGTCCCCGATGACGGACGGCTGGACGACGACGGCATCTCGAGCGGCATCTGCTCCAAAAACTCGCGTGATATGCGCCGCTGACGCCTGCTGCAACGTTGCCGGTAGACGGCTGAGCAGCTGGCTACAGCGGGCAGGGAGATGCCCTGCTTCATGTCCACGCAGCGGGCACTTCAGGGACTGGGGCTCTCTGGAAGCCTCATTGCTCCGCGGCGCGGCCCCCAAGGCTCCCCTGTCGCATCTCCCTCTCCGAATCGCCGCCTGCCTGCAAGTGACGCGCGGCCGCGATGTGAGTCTTGAAAACCTGTCGGCGCCCGATGCAGATATTCGTCGGTGTCAGCACATGCGCAAGATTGTGGAGGCGGCGTCGTTGGGTTACATGTTTGAGGAGGGAGGTCTGGGTAAAGAAACGAGCCCCACATAGTTCCCCCTCGCCCGTCCGCACTTCGCATCGAAAAGGCCCTTCCCCGCACATCCCATCCGTCGGCGCACGCGCCCCTCCAGCATCGGGCCCACTTGAAGCGGGGGTAAGGACGGGGGCGGCACGTTCCACAACCTCTGCTCGAAATCCATGCCAATGCACCCTCCTGTTCCCACGTCGGCGGCGGGATCTGCGCAGCATTCAAGGCTGCGCGCAACATCCCAAAATCCAACGCCGTGAATCCTGAACAATCTCATCCAGGCTGCACGAATCCACGATCGGGGCTGCAGCCCACAGGTCCGCTTCAATCTGGCAGAACCAAGGTGAAGCCGAAGTGGACGGCCTCTTCCTCACGAGCTGCGGCACAGTCGACACGCGTTCCCCCCTCAATACCCGAAGAGTGCACACAAAGGTTGTACATGCCCCGTCGGATTGCGCGCCCAAGATTGATATCACTTACGTAAGCCTCCTAATACGAAGCTCAACTCGACTGCCCGAAAATCGCCAGTAGCGCAAGACCTGAGGAGTGGTCATACTCACCTTGTGTCCTGCCGACGTTCCGGCGCACGCGCACCCTAGCATCGCCGTCTTGCAGAGGGCCGCCAGGCAGCCGTCCAGCTTGCTAGAATCCCCTGACGTCAACACGACAGGTTCAGGCCCACTGAAGACAGCGTTGCCCACGAGGCCTCGCAAGAGCTCCCTCCTCCACATATATGGCAGGTCCACCGACCACACCCCTCCCAAGCGAAAGAAAGCCTGCCGAGCCGCATCGCACCTCCGAGGAATCTCGTGGTGCCCTGTAGACAGCATATTAATGTAGGGGCCCAGGTACCGCACGCAGTCCCAGACCTCGCCCCGACATGGCAAAGACCCCTGGGCGGACCGCTCTCCAAGGATCGTTTTCGCAGGCCTGGACTGACTCACAAAGTAGAAAAAAAAAAAAAAAAAAAAAAAAAAAAAAAAAAAAAAAAAAAAAAAAAAAAAAAAAATGTTTGTTCATCAGCGTCTTGACAGTAGCCGCACATCCCCAGGTAGTCGTCTAGCGTCTCGTCGACACAACTTAGTTTATGTAGGAAGACTGAAACCGTGTTCCCAAGATCGGCCACCACAAATTTGTTTAGATCGTCCGCATATTTACATAGACGGAGGTCAACTGACAGCTGTTGCCAGCTCGATATTAAAACATTGGCCGAACGGTCGTGTGTGAAAACGCGGTGTCCCCATGCCGCTGTGGCCCGTCCGGAAGTCACCAAGAAACCCTGCACCGTGAAGGGGTTCCCCATCACATTTCCGCACCCAGGACGCACGCAGAACGGACCGTCGCACGATTCCAACTCGATGATCGCATTCCTCTATCGTTGTCTGCACAAGTCGGCATCGTATGGGGAACCGCACAAAGATACTGTCGTATCCAGCTCCGTCCACAAAAAAACTCGGGAAGGCATTGCTGGGGTCTTTTAGTGACATGCAGTGGGTACGGTCCATCTGTCGTAGCCTCCAACTCGTCACTTATGCTAAGAATATGGCGTCCTCCCTCCTCCCCTCTCGTACAAAACCATGGTCTTGGGCCGTCGGTGTCGCTTGTAACTTGGTCGCAAAGAAAGCCTTGCCCACCGCCGAAGGACATGGATCACTCTCTTGCCCCGTGGCCCTCGCACCTGTGATTTGTGCAGTCCTACCCCCCGTGACTCATTCCAGTAAAGCCGTATTTCTCGACGCTCACGGGTTTTGTACAAGCCCAGCTCCATTAAGAACCAAACTAATGGTGTCCTATGCATCGGTCCCGTGTTTCCCACCCCCCTGCGTTGTTGTACCCTGTAGTTTGGCCATAATAGTTGTTGCCACAATTCTAAAGGAGCCGTGCCGACGGGAACTGCTCGTCGTTTCGGCGCTCGTCGCACGCATCGTCATATCGAACGTAGGTCCTTCTTAGCCACCTCCTTCGTCTCCTCCGACTCCGTAACACCGTAGCCACCCCCCATGTCCGCTCTGCTGCTCCTCCACTAATCCCACTCACACTCCTACACCTGAATCCCTCCATCAGGTCCCGAGAGCGACCACACACCGAGCCATTCGGCCCGGTTTGGTTGGGAGCACGCCTCTAACCAAGCGGCCGTCCCTCTTCTTCGCTCCGAATTTGCAGCTGGCCGCGCGCCTGGCTAACTTCATGCCCTCAAAGACATACCCACACCCCCATCGCTCTCTAGCTTCCTGCAGCAAACGAAAAGGAGAAGAAGAGGGGGGAGGAGGCGGGGGGAGGAGGAGGACGAGGAGGAGGAGGACGACGAAGAGGAGGAAGAGGACGAGGACAAGAACGAGAAGGAGGAGGAGGAGGAGGAAGAGGAGGAGGAGGAAGGAGGAGGAGGACGAGGAGGACGAGGAGCAGGACAAGGAGGAAGGCGAGGAGGCAGAGGAGGAGGAGGAGGAGAAGGACGACGAGGAGTAGGAGGACCAGCGTAAACCCAAGGGTCATCAACGATGTTGGAACAAAACCCTCCTTCCACGCTCCCTTCATAGGCCCCTAGAAGGGTTCATTTCCACTGAAGGAACTGCCTCGTTGGAAGACAACCGTTTGAAGACCCAGAAAGATGCCAGAACCTTGTTCTGGGGATTCCAACGCCACGGATCAACCTGACTGTTGCGTCTTGACGATCCTGAATCGTCTCAGAACGCCACTCCTGGGACTTCAACACCGCGAACCAACGTAACTGTTGCACCCTCATAACCCTGAACCCTTTCCAAAACACCATTCGGGTACGCTGATCATGGGAATCCGTGGAACTTTCGAACTCTTTGCAAAAGAATGTGCGCGGCGCTACAACGAGAGCCACATTTGGGAAAGGAACCGCCCTCAATCCGTGAAACTCTTACAGATGTTTAAAAACGAATGTGCGCGGAGCTAACGCGAGAGCAACATTTTGAAAACGGCCCGCCCTCAATCCGTGAAACTCTTGCAAATGTTTTAAACCAATGCGCGCGGCGCTAAGGCAAAAAAACACATGTTGGAAACGGGTGGCCCTCAGCACGCGAAGCTCTTGCAAATTTTTGAAGCGAATGTGCGCGACGCCGAAGCGAGAACTACATGTTGAAAACGACCCGCCCTCCATCTGTGAAAGAGGTTGCCAATTGTTTGAGCTTCAGGGTTATGAATGGTGAGGAAGTCTCAGGCGAAATGCTCGGCCCGCCTTAAAAGCTGGCCTCGGGCTGCGACAATGAGAACTTATCGAAAAGGAGAAAGAATGGAGGAGGAGGACGAGGACGAGGAGGAAGAGGAGGAGGAGGAGGACGAGGAGGACGAGGAGGAGGAGGAGGAAGAGGAGGAGGACGAGGAGGGAGGGCCAGGCCGAACCGGGGCGCAGGCGGCAGGC